TAGCTTGCCCGTCTGTTCTCCGTGTCTCGCAGTCCAGGTACTTGTTGTTTGCTTGTCTTGCCATCCCAGCGCCTGCGCAACTTTTTTTTCTTTTCTCTTTTGGGGGGGAAGAGGAGAGAAGTTGCGACCAACTTATCATATCACGACCACACACACGACGGCACACACGACACGCACAACCACGCAACCACACAACTACACATTGGCACGCCCACTCTCCCAGGCTCCTAGACATATCTGCCATCTGCCATCTGCCAATCTGCCCTCACTGTTTTGGGCCCCCCCAGCACTTCTTCTCGCTCCTGCGCGCGCGCTCTCTCTCTCTCTCTCTCTCTCTCTCTCTCTTCCTAGCCCGCTCTATCACCTACACAGGCCCATAGAGACAAAGATCCCCCACATATGCCCAAACAGCCCCCCATGCCTTCGCGACCACACATGTCCTGGTAGCCTTCGATCGTCCTGCTCGCCGCCATCACCACAGACCTTGACTCGTCGGCTCTGCCCTCGTCGAGCCGCCGTGGCCGCGCATCAATCAGCATCATGGCCTCCAGCCTGCAGCAAATGGCTGCCACTATCACCGAGCGCTCGCGAACCCTCATCAACAACGACCTGAAGAAGATCCTAAAAGAGGAAGGCTCATCACAGACAGGCAACAAGGCAGCCCTCCAGACTCGAGTCATCAGCCGTACGTGATGTCCACCATCCATACCCACACCCCGCGGCTGGCAGGCCCGGGGAAGCTGGCATCTGCTAACTGACTCACCCTCACCACAGTCATCAATAATGCTGTCCAAGAGGGCAACGCGGACCTGTTGCGCCGGCTTCAGTACCGCATCCAGCACCACGGAGAGGCTCCTCGAGCCGCTGCAGCGAGCAGTCCCTCGACCCCTTCTTTTCCCCGACCTACGCCGCCAGCAGCGAACGGGTACAGCATGGCGGCCAATGGATACCAGGCCAGCGGCTCACCCTACTCGGCCTACCAGCAACCCCACATATCTACTCGTACGCAGTCATTGCGCTCTGGTCACGCGCCCCAACTTCCGTTATTGACGTTATCCAGGTCCCAATGGCTACTTCTTCAAGGACAGCCCGTTTTTCGAGATACGCGAGCTGATCATGAGCAACATTTCTCTTGATGGTTCGTCTGCCCCTTAACGGAGAGCATACCCCCAATGTACTGACCCAGCGCAGCTTCGCCCAGTCATCGTCAGAGTGTTACGCGAACCCTGATACCCTCGGAACATGTGGCTGCCCGCCTCAAATCAGATAAATCGCTACGATTACTCTTGTTTTCGGCACTCGAACAGCCACTTGCACCGTATGCGCGGCTAGATATCAGCTTTCCATCCCAGATCGAAGTCCGCATCAATGCTCAAGAGGTCAAGGCTAATTACAAGGGCTTGAAGAACAAGCCCGGTTCGACTCGCCCTGCTGATATCACAGAGTTTGTGCGAATCACGCCAACTAATCATCGCAATTCTCTCGTCATCACCTATGCTCTGACGCAGAAGGCAAGTCAACAGGTTTTTTTATCCCCTTGATCCACTCTGTGAGTGCTACCAGCTAACTCGAGACTCAGAAGTATAACTTGTTCATATACATGGTCAAGAAGTTTTCTGTTGAAGAACTGACACGACGGATCAAGTTGCGCAACCTCATCACCCGGCAATCCGTGTTGAATGAGAGTATGGCTCGCCTGCCTGACCATCTTCTGATCTTGAACTAACAGAGATAGTGTTGAAAAATGCCAACGACCCCGACATCGAAGTCGGTTCTAGCGTCATGTCACTAAAGGACCCCATTTCCACCCTCAGGATACAAACACCGTGCAGGTCGACAGTGTGTACTCACAATCAGTGTTTCGACGCTGAATCTTTTTTGCAACTTCAAGAGCAAGCACCCACTTGGACTTGCCCGATCTGTAACAAGACGATATCGTACGAAGCTCTCGCAGTCGATCAGTATGTGGAAGAGATTCTGAACAAGGCTCGAAATGTAGACCAGGTCACTATTGAACCAAACGGCGATTGGTCACTCGACAAAGAGGCTTCGCCCAAACGAAATGATCACAGCGCTCATGGCGCTCACGACGATGATAGCGATGAGGATCTGGTCGAGATACCCGACTATCGTATTCGAGCCATCAGGTCCGAAGCAATCCCCACGCCGACATCACTGAGTACGCCACCGCAACTCTCGCGAGATTCGTCCATGGCTCCTCGCTCCGGTCAGAAGCGGACATCTGAGGTGGTGGATTTAACATTGAGTGACGATGAAGAGCCGGTGCGGCCAGCCAAAAAGGTAGCGTACAGTACCCCGAATAGCTTCCCAGATTTGCCACGTCGCCAGTTACCTCCCCTTGGTCACTCCAGTTATGGTGCACATAGCCGACCGATACCGCCTGCCTATGGCGTGGGCTCGAGCTTTCCCCGGCCCTCTGCAACTCCTACATCACCTCCACCACGCACTGCGTACGTCTCGTACCGGCCCGCGCCTCCCGCAACACGCCCGCAGTATTCCAGACAGGGATCCGCCAATCATCCTACCTATCTTGATTCCTCTCCTTGACACGTTTTTGTTGCGCGAATCTCTGTAGTTTTCCTGATGATTATGACGAGTGTTCTTCAGCTAATATCGCACCGGGTGAGTAGCGCAGACAATAAACATGATAATTCTCGGCTCGTAGTTGGTCTCATGGCCTCGTCGGCCAAAGGCTGGTCACTTCGTGGGCATCCTTTGTCCAAACCGGTCGGCCAACCCTACACCCGTACATTTTTCTTCCAGCTCGTCTCCTCCCTCTTTGTTATCCCAACAGAAGAGAATTTTTTAGCATAGGGCGTTTTGGAAAGCGACATATTGTGATCATCTATCGGACTACGGCGCAAAAAACTCTGGTTTGAGACCGGGAACTGATACCATCGCATGCGTGTTTGCATGCCTTTTTTTTGTCGAGGGCGATCCTTTTGGTTTTTGTAATTAATGGTGATGCGGGGTCCATGTGAAGGAGGACAGGGCCAGGCCTTGAGAAGAAAAGGACGGCTGGGAAAGTGGGGGGCAGGAAGACAGTGAACAAGTAGTAGCTGCGTGTGAAGAGCAGATCAAAAACACTGCGTCAAGATATGAGGAGCGAAGAACTGTCCGAAGGCGGGTGGGGAGGGTGAGATATACATGTATAAAAGACGAAGAGGCCTTTTTTTTTTGCAGAGCAATGATGAGAGTTTTGAATTGGGCTCATGGGTATCTTGTGCCACTGTTTGGTTTTGGTACTATACGAAGAGTCTAGACAGTGAACAGTGACGATTGGTGAGTGGGGCTATATGCGATGAGCCTTCTCCTTCTCCTTCTCCTTCTCCTTCTCCTTTTCCTTCTCCTTCTCCTTCTCCTTCTCCTTCTCCTTTTCCTTCTCCTTCTCCTTCTCCTTCTCCTTTTCCTTCTCCTTCTCCTTCTCCCTCTTCCCCAATCTTTCTCTCTCTCCACCCAAAATTAGCACCCCCTCCCCCCCTTGCCTTCTCTCTCCCTACCCGTGCAACAAGCGCGCATAGAGCATACCAACATTTTGGATCAGCAGTACGGTTCGGCCGATACAAATACGAGCCGGCTCATTGATTTTCCCTGGGTGATGGCGTGAGGGCAGTGACATGGACTGGGTATGGTAGTTATCAGGGCACTCGTCGGCATCTGTCATCAAAATGCATTTTAGCACGCGCCTGTACTCACAAC